AGGATAAATCCCTTCGATGTGCAACTCAGGAGCCCACAAGCTGTATCCCCGAGGACGAACAAGCTCGGACAGGCTCCGTCTTCGACCCAGGAGTCTGGTAATTCCAGGGATGCCTTTACACCCACGACGTCGGAGCTCCCCACGGAAGAGTTGATGAATCTGTTGTACCGGAGGATGCACAATATGGAATCTGGGGATCGGCCTCCAGATTATCCTATCAGCCAAGTTGGTCATTGAAAGGCGTGTAAAACATGGGGCAGTACCGATTCTTCTAGCCCAGAATATACCCTATACAGCGAGGTGCGAGCAAGAATGTGTAGAGCGTCTGTCTACGAGAGACTAGAATATACCATGTCGATAGCCTAGATCTTTCTGTTTCTGTATTTGATCCTCCGTTATTCATTTGTCCAAATGAAGATGAACCGTTGAGGAAAAACGAGTCGAGACTTCGTCCGTATGTTGTGTACAGACTTAAATTTATGGTGGTCCTGCTTCGGCATCATCTGATTACACAGCAGGCTGGCTACCCAGTCGAGTGGGCAGAACTAGTTCATCTCGGCGTTTATGTACGACAGTACCTCAGCGGGGTTGTATAAAATTTGTACTCCGTTCGCGTGGTCGGTCCGTAGAGCTAAAGGAGGCATTTTAGTCATCGGCTTGTTAATTGGAGCACCCTCACCACCGGGATCGGAGAGCAAGGCTCTCTGCGCGCACCAATAATCTGGCAGGCTCCGGAAGAAGGAGAGAAGAGCTCAGGCGCAGGAAGTATCAGAAAAGGTGGCCATCCCGGGGTTGCCGCAAATATGTCTGAACATCACACTAGCATAACAGCAAGACCGAATCGAGACAATGCAGCGCCGTAGAAGACTCGCATTCAAACCAGATCTTCTTAAAAGGTCCTCCTTATCTTTTGCGAAGTTCCAACCCGAATGCGTAGCGGCCGCGAACTGGGCGATGGATATTTAATCAGCATGAGGAATGAGTTACAAGATCAATTTTAGTATGTCGACTCGTAGGTCCACAAAAGAGACCGTATATGCTGGTACAATTATAAGCTGAAAGGGCAAAAGTCTGGAATAGTTGGTACTGGCTACGAACCCACAACGACTAGAGAGATACGTCCGCCTAGAAACACGTCCACAATGCAACGGCCGAGGCATGCTTTCGCTCGCGCAGGACAGGCGTGCGGTCGGCCGCGATAGCGGCGAAGAGGGAACGAACAAGGACACATGCCAAATATTTCGCTCGATCACGCCAGATTCAGAACCGTTGACGCAAGATGAAGCCAACTGGTCGTGGTATTAGGTTATGCACATCCTCGAACGCAGCAGACGCACCTCGGGTTTTTCATCCCTTCACGTCGCTCCCCAGCCAAATGAGAACACCCCTAGTCCACACACTGTTTCCGCTTCAACTCAAAAGCAAAAGAGGAACCACATCAATATTCATCGAAAGGAAATACAGAAATAGCTGGATAAAAAGAAGATATAGATGTAGGGCGCCCACCAACAACCACACACTCTCCCTCCCATCCAACCGCATCATGAGCGCCAGCCAAAGGCGGCACCTCGTCGGTCACAAGGGCGATCAAAAAGCGTACGGCAGCAGTGGGGAGCCCCGACGTGTGTACACGCCGGCCGACAGTATAGAGGACGGGAACGCGGACGAGGAGGCGGAAGAGCTTATACCAAGTCCGAACTTTTATCTGTTGAGAAGTTCAGCAAAGGGCAGAGAATGGCAGGAAGAGATTTTCACGGACGTCCTCATGGTTTGTTCGTAAGAGGCGTGGACAAACAAGCCACGCTTTTATAGCTGGCAGTCGCTGACACATCAATTCCCACGATCGTTGACACGTGCCAGCGTGTCTTGCGATGAACAGCGAACACATCAAAAACGCACACGATACACTTGTCGCAAGTCGTGGCACGGAAAGTCGAGATTCGCGCAATCTCTACAACTTCGGCAACATAAAGTGCCATACCCAACTCTTTCTCCTCCTTTTATTGCCTGAACCAAACCTGAACGAATATTCTTTGTACTTCCTTGCTCTAGTACGCGATCGTCCCTGGTCACTTGGCCCTCCAGGTCAATGTATGACTCTTTAAAGAAGGTAGAACGTATGAACTCACTTTCATTAATTTCTACCTGGTGACCCACACTTCATCCGTTTCCATAACCTCTTGCTCGGATCCTTCAAAAGATATTTCTCGGAGTTAGATATCCACGAAGATTGACGGGACGGAATTCTGCCGTTCGGGAACCCGGAGGCTCCGAAACCACGAAATCCCTTCGGCGCGATCTTTCGGAATAAGTGTGCGTACACGGCAAAAAATGCATTGGACTGTAAACACTCACCAGGGCCAACCCCATCAGTGCCACGCATGCCTTCCTGTACTACATCGAGGTCAAGCGTTGGAGGTGAAGCCGACAGAGTCTAACTTAGATGCGTACCAGGCTTTCGTAGTGGAATTGATCGTTCTCTCCAGTTTCGGTGTGGAAAGGGTCTACAATTGCCAAGTTGACTTCTCAGGTACAAGGATCTTTCGTTCTTGAAGCAACGCCTCTCAGAGTGAGTATGGAATTTTCATGGAAGACTGAATGCAGCACAGTCCCTGAGTTCGGATTGATAGTAGGGCGGTCGGTGGGATAATAGATCCCCGATCGAAGGCGATATATATATATATACGAATGAATGGACTGTGGGTATAGGTTTTCGATACTGAGCGGAGTACAAGGGATATTCCGAATAATAATCCGCCATGGTGGGAGACGTTCCCCGTGCAAGTCTCACTGAACGATAAATGACGAAGCTATATAGATGATCGCTTTAGCATCCCCAGAAAACCAACCATGAAACAAACACACCTTCGACCTCGCCCGCCTGGCGTCTCTCGACAAATTTATCCGCCCTCTTCCAATAGTCCTCGCCCCCACCCTCGCCCCCACCCACGCCCTCCTCCCAATCCTCAAACACATTCGTCACCCTCACCACAACGCACCGCAGGTCCTGCGCAGCAATACTCGCCACCCCCGGATCATCCAACAGACACCGCTTAAAACACACCACCAGCGCCAACACGTGCAGCGCCGCGCAACGCGCAAGGACGCCCTCCACAATGGGACCCGAAAAGCAGTCCCTGAACGAGACATGCGTCAGGCACGGCACGAGCGCTAACTCCGCCCAGCGCGCGCAGCCGTCGTCGTCGCCATCCGCCAGCCGGTCCTGGACGTCCAGATGCGTGAGCCGCCGGAACATCGGGTGTGCGAAATCGAGGTTGCCGCCGAAGAGGCGCAGAAGCGGGGCCGAGAGGCGTTGCAGCGGGATGCGCGCCAATAGGGGCAGATGCGCGGGCTCGAGGTTGGTGTAGAACATTGCGTGCGTCAGGGAGTCGCTGCACGCCGTGAGGAGCTCATCCAACTTGGAGATAGACGCGGCGAAGAATAGTGTGCGGACGTGCCGCGCCCCCGCGCTCGATTTCAGCATTTTGATGAACGGGTCGGGTGGGAGGCGGAGGGGCCACGGCCGATTGGTTAGCTTGCTGTTGCACACGAGGAAGGCGCCGTAGAGGAGCGGCTCGATCCTAGATTCGCCTGAGCGCGTGGGGTTGAGATAAGGAAAAGTGGCGCACCAAATTTGGACGCGTCGTGCGACTAGCATCATGTGCGGGACGGATGGGGGATGGAGAAATGCTGTGAGAGTGAATATATGCAACTCCAGCTCGGCAGGGAGCTGGGGATTACAGGTATTCATGTTCGTGGTAAGAGAGGAGGAGCACTGGCACAGCCACGGAAGAAGCACCGGGCCATCACAGAAAGCATGCTGCACGCTAATGAGCGTGGAAGAACTGTTTCGGGTCAGTTCTGCCAGTCTGCCATGAAGAACGGCAATTGTCAGGTTTCGGCAGAACTGACAGAACAAAATACAGAAATTTCCAGACCGACGTGTTTCCTCCGCTTTGAACCAAGTTGAGGCATCTCAACGAGTTTTGATGTCAGCATGAGTGTCCAGACCAATTTGGGTGTCTGTTCCAGCGCCGCGATTTGTTCGACGGACCCAGAATGAACAAGAGTTAGCTGTGTTCGACTGCAGGAAGTGACCAAAACGATGGCTGGATAGATTCGACTCGGATTTGGGTGCGATTTAGACATGATTAAGGTGCCAGATTTCTGCGGCCGGAAGCGTTCCCTTCACTCTCCGGCTGACCAGTAGCCTCAGACAGCCTCAGAGCTAACTGCCGGCAATTATCAGTTTGGCAGACTGCACGCACCTTTTCTTATCTGCAAGGAGATGACGCAATGATGACGCGCTGAGTCCGTAAACGGGATATCCGGGATCACCGAGGACCGCCGGCGATCTAAACACGACCTCACGCATCTTGCCTTCTACCACCACCACGTCTGGCCGCCCGTCGTCCCAATCGCCTCTCGTCCCTCGTACTCGCTCCCACGCGTTCCTCGATGCCATCGTCCCCGCTCACAGCTTCCGCACTCCGCTACATTTTATTTTATTCAGTTTCGATCTCAGACACTTCCATTTCTATTTATTATATATTCTGTATCTAGTAAGCTATTCTATACGACTCGTTTCGCCCCCGATTCCGTCCCTCGTCGCTCCCAGCCCTCGTTGTTGCTGTTACATGGATAGGCCCAAGTTCTAGAACTTTGTTTGATCCACCTCGCACACATATATTTCCTTCCTTCCTCCTTGCTCCCGCGCTTGGACGCTTGTTTGGCATTTCATTGAATATCCAGCGCTTTCTAATGTCACCGCCAGTGATCAATAATGTTGCTCTTGGTCGCAAGATCTGGTGCAAACCTCGGTTCGAGCCTACTAACCCCATCGATGCTCCCTGCCCCTCCCTTAGCAAGGGCGAATTCAAGCTGGCATTCGAGTAAATTTTCTTCCTGGCTGACATGACTCCCCGCTAAAAATCCTCTCAACGTTCAGGCTCACAACATGAAAGGAAATATGTACAAAAAAATCCAGTTCAGTACTCATATGCACCCACGGGGAGTCGAACCCCGCTCTCCGCCCATCCAAGTTCGACTTTGCTTGCGAGGTAATCGAAGGGCGGTGGGCTGCCGATGCCCCACAGGTGCCGCTGACAGTCTATTCCAAGGCGTCAGACAAAGTACACCGAATTCTCCGCCCGCCGCGCCGTGGAATTCAATTAGTAGAATAACTACGTCAACGGTCACATCCTCTTCCGCGATGCCCCCAGTTCCTAATCCATGTGGGTTTAATGTGGATAATACTTCGCTTCGCCGTGTATTTCACAGAGCCCGCAACACACTATAAAACGGATTCAAGCTCCATTTCGGTCAAGAAGAGTGGGGGGGGGAAAGCTTATACCAACGCAAGCGGCAGTCCACCGACAGAAAATCTTCGACGCAAGATCGTCCTGCGCGCCTTCAAGGGCGAGCCAGTCGACATTGGTCCCGGGGTCGGCGGCGCCCAACACACAGGCTGTTGCATTCCCGGCGGTTGACGTGAAGTCCCGATGCCTATTCTACGCCGGAGGCCGAGGGTACTATTTGGCAACAGACAAATTTCGAGGACCAGAAAAATGGTGGACGCACCCCGAGAAGGAACGGCCGCTGCCGATGGAGGTAGCTGTTACGTTTGCTCCAGATATGGAACGCGGTGGTTTGGATGGATACGAATAGCGGGGTTGAGAGAGATGTCGAATAGGAGTAGGGATGCGACGGCGCCGATGGAACTGTAGCAACGAGACCAGATCCTTAGTATACAGAGATAGATATCGTACGCATAAGTGGAGCTGGTGCTCGAGTAGGAGTACTTAGTAGTTCTGAATGCCGACACCGAGCGGTCACGAAAAGCGGGGCCGTGGTGGGATTGACGAGGGCTGTCAGATTCGCGGGAGGCCCATGACGACCCTGGAGGTATCGCAGCTGTGAGCGACCGGGGTGCTGACACAGGCAGAGCTAGAGAAGAGGCGGTGAAGTGCCAGCATTTTTTTAGAAGAAAGTACAAGTAAAGGAAGGGAAGAATAAATCTCTGGAGAGAGAGGTTCGTGCTGGTCGGCGCCACTTTATAGAAAACGAGTCGCCAGAGCTCCGTTCGGCGAGGGTGCTATACTTGGATTGGACAGCCGCACTGCACTTCGGAACCGAACCCGGGTGAGACGGGGTAAAGAACCTCTGTTTATGAGATTTGAACGGCGAACTGAAAGGACAACAAAGATGGGACACGCTGGGAATCGAACCCGGGTGACACAGCGTATGGAAGCTCTGTTTATGAGAATCGAACGGCGAACTGAAAGGACAACAAAGATGGGACACGCTCAGCGTAAAGGGTCCAGCCTGGACCCTTAGCCGACGTTGAAGGTCAGCCAGGTACAGATATGTCTGGTTGTGCCAGAGCCAGTGATAGTCATCCACGTAAAGCTTTCATTCACCTGTTCATGTCCTTCCGGCGCCAACAACCATATCGCCCCACTACGGGCGGCGGCGTTTGTGGCTGAAGGAGGAGGTGGGAGGAGGACCACACGGTTGGATAGGAAGACGGGCTGAGGAGAAAAACCAGAATTGCGCTCGAACGTGAAGTTGTAGCAGATGTCATGGCTGTGAGCGGTGAGGAATAAGTGGAAGGTCGTGCTAAGCGCATGAACGCTGTCGAATGCAGAACTGAAAGGTACGCTGACAGAGCATGGGACAGAATGACGAGATCGTGGCCGTGTCCGGAGCGAAGAGAAAAGCTACGTGGAGGAGCATCTGGTGCTAGATTTCCGGTGAGGCAAGATACGATGAGCTGAGCCTTACGGAACATGAGTCCTGAGTCGGTTGTCACCAAACGTGTCTCGGAGTCTTTATTTAGCGTGAAGCGATCTAAATTGGATGTTACATGTAATACACAGCCGGCTTTCATCGTTGATGGGGGAGGTACTAAGGGTTCTTGTATCCCCCTGGCCTGTACCTACGAATTAAAGTCAACTACGAAGCGTATGGATGCACAGAGGCAAGAGAAATTAGAACACACCAGCGCCATCCCACCGCGACGAATGGAAGTGCGAACCCGAACCCCATGTAGGCGATGCATTTTATGGCGAACTTCCTCTGATTAGAGTAGTCGAAAGGCATGTTCTGGGATGGGTTAGCGTGCGAGGATAGATGGGGTCAAATTTGTACATTGTACTCTGCCGCATGTGTATGGGCCAGCCGCCTCCCAGAGGAATAAAGGGGCTGGCGAATGGCGGCGGAGAAATTGTGAGCAATTGTAGGGCGGGCGAGGGAGGCCATGGTGTGGTGTGATGCTATCTGCGAAACTGAGGCGTCTTATATTTTTGCCCGGAGACCGAGAATCGAGTCCAGATTGTCGATTCCATACCGGACAACCGGGACACTAGGTTGTTTTAGCTGGAATGAAGGGACTGTCCAGACATTGCAGTGCGTTCCAGGCCCAGCACCGAGAGATAGGTCTATGGCCCCGGCACGATCCAGATTCCAGCTAGTTCAAACAGTGGGCGCGTAGGCCGTTCTCGAAGACGGGTTGGAGTGACGGGTTGGAGTACGCGGCGCTGCTTGTGGAACCCCTCGGCAGAGATTGAGACTCGAGAAAGCAAAAGGTGCGATCGGAGTGTGACGTGGCATCACGTGAAAGCCAGGAAGCCTTTACAACATGGGAGGTACGAGGACTAAGTATATTGTTGTAGCGCCTGTCTACGAGAGACTAGGAAGCCTTCACCTTCCGCGACCTTCATAAAAGTTCAACGCTACCTGGTCTTCCTCAACCCCGCAGGTGAGGTTGGATAGGAGACTGCTTTCCAAAATTCTCAGCTGGCTTGGCGTGTGGAACCCAAACTTGGTATTTCAACCTCGAAAAGGCCTTACTAGGGCTCAAATTCAACAGAATGAACAAAAAAGGAAGCGGTGATTGGACATGCTGTACTATCTGTGAGGGGGAACCTGGCCACCTAAGAGGTCTTGGCCTGTTGGTAGCCTTATTCAGCACCTTACCTGGAACATATGGGCCCCAGAGAATAGGCGCGCTTACTGCGAAGAGTTTGAGCCTAGTGGGCGTCATTTTGGGTACTTTTTCGTAGCTCAGTGAATTTATTTCGGACGAGTTCCCGAAAAGGCAATTGACGGGCTACCTGGCCACCCGTGCAAACTGTCGGTTTACGGCGGTGGCGGCGGTCTTGCAGGGTGTTATCATGTTAGTGGGTCATAATTGGTCCTTTTTGAATACTATAACAATGCAAAGGGCCTCTGAAAAAGGTGGAGAAAAATGCTTCCAATGTGAGGTGTGAATGGTGGGATCAGTCATGCTAACGAAATGAGGCCCGCATGCGAACCAGAGGACTTGGCTGGCCAAAAAAATTTACAGGCATGTTCTTAAGCACAGAATGAACACACGTGTATGTCTAAATCCACCTTTGTGTCATGTTCCTGAGAACCCGACGTTTGAACTTTGATGTGACAAACAATAGGTGAATCTGGTGTCTGATGCGGACTGAGGGAGGTATCAAGAAGATAAAATTGTGCAGTATGTTAGAAATTGAAGCATTTCATATGAAGATTGACCTTGACAATTGCTGGACCGGGGTGGCCAAAGGGCCATTTGATATGAAGGTCGTCCGGTTGCCATCCCCACACTTGAATGGCAATCATGTTCATGAGTCCAGAGACAGAGGAGGAAAAATATGGAGTCAAATTTATGTTAGGAGCAAACCCTACAGTCATAGAAGAAGAATGAGCCCCCAAAGTCGTGAATTGATGAAGAATTGGTGGAGAAAGGAGCCAAGCAGCGGTTCGGGGATAAGAAATTGATTTTCCCACCCTGCAGCCTGACATCGTCTGCGACACCGCTTAACAAGAACTCGTGACTTTTGGCTGAAAGTTGGCAAGGACAAGCTGCAAAGGTTGTATTCCACCCCCTAAGCACCAAAATGACATATGGCTAAATCACTAGTCTTATAATTGGCAAGTGGCCAGGTTCCTAGTCCGGCCAGGTTGGCAGTCACAGATAGTACCTTGTGTACCGTCGCGATTCAATGATTCAACATCCTGAGCACAGATATTTGAAAAATGAAATTTGGAAAGGATGAGTGAATCAATGCCACCAGTAACTCAACACGGCTCAAAGTCTACGTGAATTAACGATCCCAGATGCCAATACTTATAGCAACATATTTTCGCAATCAAGTGGCACTGAGAGCTCCCCACCGAGTCCCATTTTTTTTGTGCTCAAGATAGTTGAATCACATCCCGTTGGCGGTGATGTATGTATTAGTCGTAGTGAGGTACAAATACATCACGGTACAAGCTAAACGAATGTGGGTACCAGAGTTCAAAGCAAAATCCTCGAATTAGTACAGATAGTATTTCGCGGTGTATTTAACCGAGATCGGGGCAGAGCCCGCAACGCACTGCAAAGCCGGGGTTTAATCTCGTGCTAAAGAGAAGGGAAGCGCGACGGAGGCACTTACGGAAGTGGGAGGCTGTCCGCCGACGGTGTCGATACGGAAAATTTTAGATGCCAGAGAGCCCTGCACGTTGTTGAGGGCGAGCCAGTCCACATTGGTCGTGGGCTTCGCAAGGGCCGGAATATCGCCAACTTTGGCGCCCATCACGAAGGCAGTCGCGTTGCCAGCGAATTTCCCCGTGGACGTAAAGTCCCAGAGGGGCGAGATGCCCGTGCCCGAAGGCGAGGTCACAAAGTAGTGGAACTATGTGCACAACTTGGATCAGCGATGATCCGCCCGCGCGGAAAGAAACGAAGAACGCACCCCGACGAGAGAAGGCGCGCCGACGTCGTTGCCGATGGTGCTGGCCTTGACCTTGGGCGAGGCCTTATTCCAGATGTTGAAGGCCGTGGTCTGGATGGTGGCGAACTCGGGCTTTTTATCGAGACACGCGATGTCAAACAAGGAGGCGACGGCGCCGATCGAACTAGGAGGAGTTTATGAGTGCGCTATCTGGGTTATAGAACGAAGGTTCTTACGCGTAAGTGGAAGTGGTGCTCGAACACGAGTAGTTCTGGATGCCGACACCCAGCAGCACGAAAAGAGGTGCGGTGGTGGGGCTAACGAGCGCTGTCTGGTTCGCGGGAAGGTCCATCACCGCCTTGGAAGGGTCAC